CTATGGGTTGATTGATGATGTTATTTTATGGGGATTTTATGTTGTTTTGTGATGTTGTTTTTATAAATTTTACTGTGCTATGCTTTAATTCTATATTTGCTGGGCTTGTCCCCATGTAAGCCGCCCAAATCCCTTTGGGGATATGGTAGTGGGATACAAAAATAAAGTTATTATTATACTATACTCCATACAATACCATTCCACAAGCTGTGGATTGACTTGATATTGATATTGAAATACTGTAAGTAAAAGCATTTAACTTACTAATGTAAGACAGATTTACTGTATAATAAAAAAAACAACTTTACGAATGCAGTATGCAATGTTAGTTGAATGGCAGTACACAAACGTTTGCCAGTTGCTTGACAGTCTGGTTGCTTGAGTTTCAGTCAGTTGAAAGTCTACTCTACATCCTAAAGTAGAATTAAAGAAAACTTCCATGAGAGACTGGCTTCCAGACAGGAGTGAGCTGACGTTAAAAAACATTATGCATACATCCAGTCTTCTTCTCCTTCACTATTTTTTAAATCAGTGAAAAAATACAGAAATTGATGGAAAGACACAAGAAGGTGACAAGTGTAAGATGTTGTCTAAGACTTCCTATAAAAGTCCACGAACAAGGTTGATTTCATAATCAAAACTAGTTCTTACTGGGCACTTGCAGTAACTAAAATGTGAGCCAGAAGCTGCTAACAACCACAACAGTTGCTAGTTTGAAGGAGTCTGAGATCAAGGGCTAATTCAAATGGCATAACCTCAATCTTTTTCTTAACGACTTATTAAATTTAAAATTAGCCTTGTTGCAACACGGTCTGCCTTCGCTCCTCCCACTTCACTCTGAGTTTGGTGTTTCTGTCATTGTATTCGACAACCATGACCGCAAATAACAATGGCATAGTCCGCCCGTTTACATACAAATGGGTTGCGCTATTCTCAAGGTTCACTTATATTGTCAAGGGAGTGGCAGCGACGAAATGCATCTCTATTACCATAGAGACTGGGCTGCCGTTACATGTTGTCACAACTGAGCCCTGACACAGCAGGCTCACCCTGTATGGATCGGTCATGATCTCTGCCATTTTAAAGACAAAAACAAATCCCCGCCTCTTGCAAAAGAAACAAAACCACAACTCATGCTCTTTGCTTTCTATAATTTCACACAAACTCCAACTGAGATTCTTCAGCTAGCTCCTAGGAACTGAATGTGTGTTCATTTAAGAGCTAAAGATAGCATGCTTTATTCAGCATAATTGCAATTAGTGCACTAAACTTTCACTGGAGAAATAGCCATGGTCTCTGAGAATATTCTTTTGCACAACATAATATTTCTTTAAAAGACTCTTACCTTTTCTTCAGCCTTCAGCTCCCTTTCTTCCCGACTTCATTTGCTATTTCATTATGAGCTCACTAATGGTTGCCAGAGCACCAAGCAATTAGTGATGGCTATCAAGACATGCAAGTCTAAAGCCTTTCAAACCATTCACTTCCTTCTTAGAGAGTGGGCTGAGAAAGAGTCCCAGTCCTAAATTGCCTAAAATGCCACAATTGCAAACACTTTCCGCAGTGCACTCTTATACAAACAAATGACTAGAACAAAATCATGGGTGCCTACCATCTCCAATTCTGGAGATGGTGAATACTGTGCTATCCCCCTATGCAGAACTGGGGGGGGGGGGGGAAATACACAGAATGGCTTCCACAGTAATGCAAATACACTTAATGTAAATATCTTTTATGAGTCTTTTGCTAATGCCCCAAGGCAGGCTCTGAGTGAGAGAAGGAAAGGGGGAGAATGGAAAAGAGAGAGGAGAATACACATATTCCCACTGCAGATTACACTCAGAACAGGATGTTCATCCAAATGAAATCTATAGTCTACTATAATATTAAAAATAAGAATTTGGATAATTATGTGGTATGTATTGCTGAATTATACCACCTGCACAAAGACAAAAACAAATATAAATTTAAGCTGTCCTTAAAGCCATGATTGGGATCCATCTTCACTGCAACATAATGCAGTTTGAAACTGCATTGTATGGTCAGTGTAGACTCACATAATGCAATTTAACTGCACTGAATTGTATTATATGAGTCTACACTGACCACATAGAATCATAGGGTTAGAAGAAACCTTGTGGGCCATCCAGTCCAACTTCCTGCCAAGAAGCAGGTAAATCATATTCAAAGCACTCCTGACAGATGGCCATCCAGACTCTGTTAAAAAGCCTCCAAAGGCGGAGCCTCCAGGGCAGAGAGTTCCACTGTTGAACAGCTCTCACAGTTAGGAAGTTCTTTCTTATGTTCAGGTGGAATCTTATTTCCTCTAGTTTGAAGCCATTGTTCTGTGTCCTAGTCTCCAGGGCAGCAGAAAACAAGCTTGCTCTGTCCTCCCTATGACTTCTCCTTACATCTTTATACATGGCCATCATGTCTCCTCTCAGCCTTCTCATCTTCAGCCTAAACATGCCCAGCTCTTTAAGCCACTCCTCAAAGGGCTTGTTCTCCGGACCCTTAATCATTTGAGTCGCCCTCCTCTGGACACATTACAGCTTGTGAACATCTCCCTTCAACTGCAGTGTTCAGAATTGGGCACAGTATTCCAGGTGTGGACTGACCAAGGCAGAATAGAGCAATAGCATGACTTCCCTATACTCCTATTTAGGCAGGTCAAAATATCATTGGCTTTTTTAGCTGCCACATGACATTGTTGGCTCATTTTTAACTTACTTAATATGGCAATGTAGATGAAGCCTTATTTGCGCTAATAAGAATGTTTCTAATTCTGAGTAATATTTTAAATGGCAGACAACAGCCTGAAAATGTGGCTGGTGTAAATGATAAAGAAAAAAGAACACTGACTAGAGCTATAAGCACTTGTGAACAGATGAGTGACTTATAGTTATGCTATTGCACTGTTTTTTGCATTACTGTAATTAATCATTTCTTTTATTATACCACAAAACTATACTCAGAGTCTTTTAAAATTAAACGAAAATACATCTTTAATAAACACTCTGAAGTGTTTTCAACTCGTTTGCAAATGTTTCATGGTGTTTTAATTTTGGACTCTGCAGAAAACCATGAAACACCATGAAAACATTTCTGTAGAAAAACTTTATGTATCCACAAAACTTCTTAGCATATATTACATTTACTGCTCTTCATTATAGCTTGTCCACCTTCAACTTGCAATTATGCAAGGAGCTAAAGTTTGAAGACTTCATTAAGGCCAATTTGGGCATTTATAAGCTTTTGACTTTTACAACTCTGCAGTTTGGCTTGTTCAACTCCCTCTATCTCAATTACAGGTTTTAGTAAAGCTTGTCTAACTTCTCCGCACATTTCTTAAAGGGAAAGTGATTTGCAGATTTCCGGACACTAATTCTTTGATTACATCCATGTGTATTATGAATCACCTGAATGATAGTAAATAAATAAATAGTAAATAAAAATATTAATCCTGAAATTTACTAATTTACATTAAGATAATCATAGAGCTATCTTAGCTATATTGAATACATTGAATTCAGTCCCACTGTGCTATTGTCTATTGTGTTTCAGTCATAGTGTTTATTTATTTGTGTAGCATGTATTGTGTTTACATTCACTTCTTTATTTGGATCTGCTCCTCTTCTGTGTTTAGTTTGTGTTTTGTAACATGAACATAATGTATATTAATGTGTGACAGTTATGCCTCCCTGGAGAATGCATAAAGCTGTATCAGGGTTTAGTGTTAGCAGAGTTTTTAAAAATTACTTTTAAAACAATAATACTCAGAATCTCCTAGCAGGGATTTTTTCCCCTACAAACTCTGGCCAAGCCATTATAAAACAACCAGGGTCTGAGCTGTATTTTCTCTATTGTTGGGTCTTTTGTGGGAAATGTACCCTGCTTTCATCATTTCAGCCCTGTCACCATGGGATTACCTTGTGAAACCTGCTCCTGACTGAGCTGTCACCGTCTACATTGCCATTTGGATGTAAAAAGAAACTGCAATTTAATAAACATAGGGGATGTTTTATTATGACATGTCAAGGTGGGGGGGGGGGGAATGAAATCAGAGAGTACTCGTCTTGGTCAATTTCATGACTTTCAGTATTTACTTTTGGTTATAATTGGAGAAGTTATTTTACACAGTAAGATGTATAATTGGCTCTCCACATTTGTGGGTTTAACTTCTGGAAATTTGATTATTCAAGGATTTGATGCAGTTCCAGTATAAATTGACTACAGAGTCATGACGTTGGAGAACATACAGATTCTGGAACTGGATCTACTCTGCCAAATAATGCAATTTTAACTGCATTATATGGCAGTGTAGATGGGGCCCCAGCCTTAGAGAGGTTTTATCTTAGATAAATAACCAGCAGTTTTAAAATTCACATTTTCCTCACTTTTGCAAGGGTCTTGTGCCCTCAAACCCTGTCAAAGTGGAGAGCTTACAGTATCACTAAGAAGACCAGAAAACAAATACGGTAGAATCAAACTTGTCCAACCTTCGCTCATCCAACGTTCTGTATTATACAACGCAGTCTGCCTTCTGCCTGGATCTACAGCTGTTTCAATACATTGAGATGTTTTGGTGCTAAATTAATAAATAGAATAATTATTATACAACGCTACCGCTTTTTCTGTCCATTTGTTGTAAAACATGATGGTTTGGTGCTTAATTTGTAAAATCATAATATAATTTGACATTTAATAGGCTTTTCCTTAATCCCTCCTTATTGTCCAACATTTTTGCTTATCCAAAAGTCTACTGGTTATGATGGATAAGCGGGACTCTACTGAATAATTTGCTTTCTTTCTGTTCTTTGCTATTCTTCTTTTTATTGCCTTTTCCCTTTTCTGTTTTGTCTTTTTTAATGTATTGAAAAATATCTACTAAAAATATTACTAAAGTACTTTCCGTTCAAACTTTTTTTCTAGGGGAGGAAAACCTATGATGTGAAACCAGAGAGGCTACCAATGCTCTCCTTGGTTTTCGGGTTTCCTACCTTGCAGGAGGCACATCAATGTTTGAAGATACAACTTTGCGCTTCTGTTCAAGAAGACAGATGGAACGAGTGCTTTCTTTTTCATGCTCATGGACTCTGCTGGGTTTTTTGGTGTCTGCTGTTTTCAAATCCTCTTCTTTCATAGCCAGAAGAAAAAAATGTTGGTCTGATAGTTTTTGATTCAGATCACTTTTCAGGTCTTCTTGCTGAAATGCTGGGAAGGTCATTTCACGCTTTATGCTGGTTGCCTGAAAAATTAAAAGGGGATTATTAGATTTCTTTCCATTCGATTTAGAAGGGGCAGATGTAGCCTCCAGGCACCCAAATCTATTTAGAAGCTCTGACTCACATTACTACTACATTTATTTTACAGACATCAGAAAATCTCTTCCCTTCACTTCCCTTCCCAGATACATATAAACTGTCATAAATACACCCGAGTTTGTATGTTCATCATACAAGGCCCTGAGCTTATACCATTCAGTCGCTGAACTTGCTGACCGAAAGGTTGGCGGTTGAAATCCGTGAAGTGGGGTGAGCTCCCACTGTTAGGCCCAGCAGCTTCTGCCAACCTAACAGTTTAAAAACATGCAAATGTGAGTAGCTCAATAGGTATCGCCTTAGTGGGAAGGTAATAATGCTCCATGCAATCATGCTGGCCACATGACCTTGGAGGTGTCTATGGACAATGCTGGTTCTTCAGCTTAGAACTGGAGGTGAGCACCCCCCACCCCCCCACCCCCAAGTTGCAGACACGACTAAATTTAATGTCAGGGGAAGCCTTTACCTTGTATGTTCCACAGACTAAGAGTGCACTTAACATGATAAAATTAATGCAGTTTGACAACCCTTCAACAGTCAGCGCTCAATGCTATGGTATCCTAAGATCTGTAGTTTGGTGAAGTACCAGTGCCCTTAGGCCAAGAAGACTGAAGACCTTGTAAAACTAAACTCCCAGTAATTCTACAGTGTAGATACAAAAGAGCAACACAGGCATTCAGAAAGGCATCTTCAGTGGGCATATTTTCCATCTGAATTTTGGAATGTACTTCCTTCCTGTTTGAGACTTCTCAGCATGCTAATGAATTGTGACATTTTATATTTGTTTATAGAAAAAATGCTTTCCTTCAATGGGAAGCTTTTCTTCAGTGAGTCTTCTGCTTGGAAGACTTAGCAGATGATGGTAACACAAAAAGTGATCATCCAGATGACTCAAACCAGTATGATGTGTAAATAACGCCCCCCCCCCCAAAATCTCATATTGAGAAACACCTTGCTTCTCTCCATTAGCTGCTGTCAGTTTTCTATTTGGTTTTGTATCCATCCCTTTCCATGTATCGCTAACCTTTTAAAAAAAATTACCATTATGTCCTGTAGTGTTGCATTTTTAAAAATTAAGTCTTTCAAGTGGGATAGTATTATGTTCGTCTTTTTTTGACTGTTTGACGATGTTCTCGGGAACTCCAAATAATGGCCTGGTGTCAAAAGAGGAAAAGGCTCCCTTTTCACATCTACTCAGCCTTTTTATTAGCCTCTATTTCGCTTCGCAGTTCAGACCTATTAGCCATTCTGTGCAGAAAATGTGCCACAAACTCCACCACCCTATCAAGTGTCCTTTTCTGTATTTTTTCCAGTTCCTGAAGGTCTTTTTGGAAACTAGAAAAGCCAAACCCATACACAACATACAGATTTGTGGTGCAGTTTCACATTCAATCTCTGTCAACTTCACATTATTTTTCCTAATAAATGCCAAACCAGATCTGCTTTGAATACTACTCCAGAGTACAAATTTTGGTGGAAGTACAGCCTTCTGGAAGTCTGTGTAATCCCAATTTCTACAGCGGAGAAAGAGAAGTCAACTTGCCTTTTCCCTCCCCTCACAGTACCTCTCTGAAATGGCTATTTATACTTCAAGATGTGTTCAGAGGGCAACCACAATGAGGAAAGATATGGACAACCAGCTATATGAGTAGATGCTTTGGGAGCTGGGTATGTTTAACTTGGAGAAGAGAAGACTGAGAGGCAATATGTTAACCATACTTTAATATATCCAGGAATGTCATGTACAAGAGACCAGAGACCAGAATACAAACCAACAAATCGAATTTACAAGAGACTGCTAAGGAAAAAATGACTTTTGTAGCTATTTGACATTGGAATTGACTACCTCTCCTTCTCTGAGGGCCCTTCTAGACAGGATCTAATCCCAGGTTTTCTGTTTATCTCAGATTATCTGGCAGTGGGGACTCATATAATCCAGTTTAAAGCAGAAAAACTGGGATCAGATCCCTAAAAGTCTTTGAACAGAGATTGTATGGGCATCTTTCAGAAGTGCTTTTACTGTGTCCTCTAGATGAAGACAAGAAAGGAAGAAGGCAGCTCATTCCTAATCAAATTTTATTATCATGACCAAGTAAGAGCACTGTCCCAAAGTCAGAACCCAGAATGAACAAGAGCATGGTGCCTTTTGTATTGTGTGTAATTCCTGCTAAAAACTTGAAATTGCAAGGAGCTCCATAAATAATTTATATTAATCAATAAAAACTACCAAGCATCCATAACCACAGAGTGGTTTGATTACATGACAATAAACAGGGGTGTAGTGTCATGAGGGAAAAAATGAGAAGGCAGAAGTGTTAGAAGTCTATAAAATAAACTTTACTGAAAGAAATTTTATTTGAGGGAAACAGAATTATGGACTAAAATTCTGTTTGTTAGTGGCTACTAGAGTAAATCAATTCAGTGATTTGTTGAATGGTAAGTCAACACATAAGTAAATCTGACTGATTCAATGGGCGGACTTGCAACAGAATCCAGGCCATCATTCAGACAACGTCCTCCCTTGTTCCTTCTGTTTCCACACCCCTTTCGGCAGAATAAAAAACAAAACAAAACACTGTGTTGTCTTTGTGAAGGCTGGATATACAATGTACATTTAAGAGTCCCTAAACTCACTACTGCTGACATTTCCATCCTCATTTCCAAACAGAACAACTTTGACTTATAAAAATATTTGAAGGAAGTGCCTGATCTGAATAAAGACAGACCATTGTGAGCAACCCACCTGGGTGTTTATCAGAATGATGAAGATCCTCCATATGTTGACAGACTGCTAAGCAATGTTCTGATTGGTCACCCTGACATCAGAGATAAGATGTTCATCACCACTTAACATAACAACGAACTATACTAAGGAGATAACTTTTTGCTGGTCTCATATTGCCAAAAACACATAAAGTGTGACATCAGAAATCCAACAATACTCTCCTTGTCGGATGATGTTGAGAAAGCATCCAACAATGCTATCTCAATCTCTCTCTTCCTCCATGCAAGAAGCTCTGTATATATCCAGTTGACCCTTTACAGATTCTACATCCACAGATTCCACCATTCTGAAAAAATCACTAGTCCCCAAAAAAGAAAAATCCAAAAAAGATACCTTAATTTTACCATTTTATATAAAGGGTATCATTTACTACATCATTGTATATAATGGGACTGTTGTATTTAAGATTCTACTGAAGTGGATAACATATAGCTAGCTAAAGTAGATTGACTTTATTTTCATTTGGTGGTGGCATGGAGACTGAGAGCTACTACACTGATGCATGTTGTCTGGTATCGGCGGTGGCCGGGAGGGCCTGCACACAATTAAAGCTCGTGCACCAGCTGCGCCAGTACCTCGTGAAGTCTGATTTGGCCATAGTGGTCCATGCCTTAGTTACCTCCACACTGGATTACTGTAACACATTCTATGTGGAGCTGCCTTTGAAGACGGCCCGGAAATTGCAGTTAGTGCAAAGGTCGGCGGCCAGATTACTAACTGGAGCACGCTACAGAGGGCGGTAAACCCCCCCTGTTTAAACAGCTCCACTGGCTACTGATAAGCTTCCCAATTCAAGGTGCAGGTTATCACCTACAAAGCCCTCAATTGTTATGGACCTGCTTCTATCTTCACAATTGCATCTTCCCTTATGAACCTGGGCAAGCTCTACGATCTTCTGGGGAGGTCTTTCTCTTACTTCCACCTCAGTCTCAAGCACAATTGGTGGGGACGACGGAGCGGACCTTCTTGGTGGTGGACCCTGGGCTCTGGAACTCTCTCCCCAGGGAGATTAGACTGGCACCCACCCTCTCCACTTTTTGCAAGGACTTAAAAACGTGGATGTTCCACTGTGCCTATGATTAAACAGTTCACCAGATAATTGGCCTCTAACTATAATTTACTATCAGCTCCTTCACTTTATCACTGTCCCCTGCCCTATAGACTTAGCGTTCAAATGACAAATGGCATTACCCTTCCAGCACTAACTACTATCAGCTTTTGCACTTTTCCACCAGCCCTTCTTCTGAAACTATTGCACAAGCTCCTATCCCTCCGAGATCAGTATTTATTACTGTTCAGGCTATGGATTGTTTTATGATGTCATATTATGTTACTATGATGTGTTTATTTTAGGGTTATGTTACTATGATGTGTTTATTTTAGCTTTTTTATTTTACTGTTTTGTGTTTTAATCTATGTTGTCCAGGCTCGTCCCCATGTAAGCCTCCCCGAATTCCTACGAGGAAATAAAGGTGGGGTATAAGCTGTTGTTGTTGTTGTTATATTACTATATTTTTCTTACTCCTTCATACTTTTCCCCAAAGTCACTCCCTTTTATACACTGAAATTTGGCTTCATTGTTTTTCTCACTGGAGCTTTTCCCATGTGCAAGACTGCACAGTTGCTAAGATACCCCTCGTGTTCTTGGGATGTATCACAAGCTTTTGTTGAGTTCTAGGTTTGGGTAGATAATTCCAAAGCACCTTTCTTATTTTTTTAGAACAAGGATGAAGTGAAGGGCTTTGGAAATAAGGTTTAGAACTCTTTGAGCAGATGAATAACACATTAATATGAAGGAAAACCGTGAATACAAGGTAGACATAGAAATAGTCCCTCTCCACCAGATTCTGAAGTTATTATAAAGCTCATTGAAAGGTTGCAGTACAAACACATGTCACTGCATGCATGTTCAAAAGATCAGAAGCAAAATATATAAATGTATTTCTCTTTTCCAAGTTTCCTTGGGAGGTCTCTTCTGGCACTTGTTTCAAGACTAAAACTGGAATGATCACTTCTAGAACATAAATGGTTTCTGAGTTGAAAGCATTAGTCATTTCATACTTCTTGACATGCAGCCAGATGACACACTACCCAGAAAATATGTTTCCCCACTGTATTGGAAATCTAAAACACAAAACAAAC